GACCACCGCTCCCCCCCCCCCCCCGCCGCCTGCTTTGGAAGCGTTATCACTGTATTGGTGTCTCAGCAGTACATTTCAGCCTAACAGAAGTGAGTGGGTTGTGAGGAACACGCTCTCCTCTGTAGGATGCATTATTCTTCGAAACTTCATTTGAGCCAGTGGATTCAACGTGCAGTGCCAGCAGCACAGTTCTCAGGTGCCTTGGGATTCTGGGAGCTGCGCTGCAAACAATTTATGGGATTTTTTTAAAAACACTGCCTGAAATCAAAGGTATAACATCCTCAGCTCTGTATTAGGAGGCTGCAGGGTAACAAGGGGTTACAAAACCCATTCAAGAGAACTGATCTTCAAATTCTAAACAAGACTTCTTTGAGCAGCTCCGCTCTCGTGTAAATAGGAACACAACCTCCAGGCCTACCTTTGCGAAGTTTTGATCCAGATGCAAGGCATTTTGTCTAAAGGAAAAAGCGACATATTTAATATGGAAGCCAGCACAGGCAGAACTGTAATTACTGATCCCAGAGCAGCAAAGTGAGATTACAGCAGTCTCACCCACCACTTCAAAGCTCCTGCATCAGAGACTACATCACCTCCCCCTGATATTTTGTCTCCCGAGTTACCTAAAGTTACTTTAAATACAATATACAGGCTGCCACTCTCTGATTTTATGCCCTACCCCCTCACTGACCTCTCCAATGCATTGAAAAATACTTCAGAAAGCCAGCATACTAGCTGCGCATGATCTTCATGTTACCCTTAGTCCTTACAAGGCAAAAATCATTATTAGCTGTGCTACAGATGAGGTTGATAACTAACGGCTGCCTCATTCTCTTCTGCTTTTACCCTCAGTTTATAAAAGGAAAAAATCTTTGAATTTTGACATCTCCATCAATAAAGAGAAGCACCAGATTGCCCGGTGTTGGATGAAAACCTAGGAAATCACCCTGCTTACAAGCCCAGCAGCACCAGAGGAGCTAGAAGGCCTGCTCAGAGCTACTGAGGGCTCTTCAGCACCTCAAACCGGGCTGGAGTTAGGTCATTTACCTCTGTCTTCTGGCAACGTTTCCTTGCTCCCGAGACAGCACGCAGCAGCTGTTGAGCATATGACAACATTTCTGCACAGGAGGGATGTCAAAGAGCCATAGCTCAACAAGAGAAGGTGAGCCATTCCCCTCCACTGACTGCAGCACGAGTATAACTCCCCATCAGCACGGGGGAAAAGCACACAGCACCTGGGCCTGCCATTGCCTGGCAGAGCATCACCACTACACAGTTAATTTGCCCAAGAAGCAGCCAAGAAAGAGTGCTTTGAGGAATGGCACCCCATTTTGCTCTTTAGCAGAGTTGGAGAAAGGCTTCAAGTCTCTACAGAAATGAGACACTGTTAGGAATTTTGCAGTGCGCAGACCAGACCCTGACATTTGAAAGCCTGACAGGCTTGCGACTCCGCTGCAGATCAGCAGGGCTGGCTGCTCAGGAACGTGTACTAGCGGCGGCTGCCTCCATCATGCATGCAGACAGGCTCAGCCATGGCTGTATGTCACTGTCATTGGACACTCGGGAACCTTTTACTCCAGACCTATTATTAGAATCCAAGTTTCACCATCTGTCTTTCCCGTCACCCCCTCCCCATTCATCATGGAGATGGGAAGCGCCTTCCAGCACAGGTCCTCAAACATCAGCACTTCCTAATTAAGAACGACCAAATCCTGCCATTATCATGATCCGTGCTTCCAGGTCAATTAGTAAAAATGGTCTTTTTGGAACAAATTAATGTGCTGACCAAGCTATTAACATTTTCTAATATTACAGCTTCAGTATATTACAAGATACTCAGTGTTTGCTATTGTTCTACATATACACAAGAAATCTGGTTTTTGAAGGGCAGGCCTAGATAGCCGTGGCCAGGACAGCATCAGTCAAGTACCGGGTAGTGCTTGTAATTTCTTCCTTCTCCTGTACCACACTCACTACATCAGTTCTGCTCCACCTGTCTCAAAAAATCACTAATTACAAACAGCTAAATTTCAGCTTACAGAGAAGGATACCATCCACATGCAAGATCTGGACTCCCCACAGGCGAGCGTTGGCGAGGATACTGCTGCCACTGCAGGTGTCCTGTACAAACAGAGAGGTTTGGCAAGGTACAGCTCAGAGTAGAGATGGCTGCCTGAGCACGTGCAGCTCTAGATCTAGTTTGGAGAGATTCGCCTGTTGCCCGATTGACAGACCACTGTATAGCTGTCATTAAAATCAGAGCACAGCAGAAAAGGTTTGAACTCATGCTTTATCTACCCCAAATTAACAGTAGCATCTAGGTCAATTTTTTAATCCCTGCTATAGCATGAACTTCTAAGTGGGCACTGAGATTCTTCTGGCCACTTGTGATATCAGTGAAAGGACTGCAGGGGAGCCTTTTGCCCCAGCTATGTGGCTTTAATGCTTTCTAGGCTAAAAGTTAATCTAACAAAGGGTCTTGTGTTAATAATTCTTTTGTGTTGAGCACCCAGATCACTGGGACAGGCTGTAGAAGTACTTAACATGGACAGATGACATGGCTCTGAAGAGCAGTGCTGGCTCTGCACTGCTTGGCTGTACTTTGGATACCCAGCTAAAGAAAAGTCCATCCCCATGCTGCTCACCTGATTCTTCATGGCCTTCTGCAGCAGTTCCTTCCCTCTGCTGATCAGAGCCTGCAGAGAAAGAAGCCAAGTACTACATTAGAGCAAAGAGCTATCAGGTAGTGGCAAGCTGAGGACAGCACAGCTCTCCAGTAACAGTGATTTCTAGCAATACCCGGCTCTCTGCTGGGGAGCAGAGTCTGGCCAAGACTTCAGCTCAAAGGCAGCATGGATGGGCATTTCCAGGGAATGCAAACCGCAGAGGCGTCCATTAGGTCTACACTAAGCAGCTGTTGGCTTTTATTGAACAGCAGTGAATGCTCCAGAGCAAGCCAAGAGGAAGCAGCAACTTAGCTCAGAAACTCTGCTTGCTGCATCCTGACATGCTGGCAGGGGTTAGGAACATCCTCGCTAGCCCTTCTTGGGAACAGAATCTCATTTGCAAGCCAATGATTTCAGCAAGTAGGTTAAGCTCTTTGTAGGACAAATGGATAGTGCTGTGAGCAAGGACAGGGGAACAAATACCATGAGTGAGCGAAACCTCTGACATCGGCCCAGGCTTCCCACCTGCTGGCGGTCCAGATCCAGCCGGCAGAGATGCCCGTGGCCTAGACTGGGGCAGCAGGCTCTCCCCACAGCCACAGCTCCCAGCAGACACCAGTGTTCAATACAGGATGCTGGAGCTTTGGCCACAAGCAGTACTGACCAGAAACCCAGCTCCGGCAGGGTGAATAGGACCTAGAGAAATCCCTACTTGCAAGCTGCCCTTGTAGATTGTCTCCCAGGTTACAATGGTCTTGCCCTACCAGTGTCTGTGAGCACACATCCAGAGCCCACAGTGGTTTTATCTTGTCTACATTTCCCTGGCTTTTCTAGACACACCTCTGCATCAGGACAAGATTGCCTGTTCTGTTGGGAAGCCAGCCAAGCCCTCTATTTCCTCTATCATTTGAGTAGATACTCTTTGATTACTAGCTCAAAGCCACGATATGCACATTTGAGTGGATAACGACACACAGACATGAGGAGCATCTGTATGAACGCGAATGGCCAGACCACGGGAAAATAACCCACGATGTATGTGCTCAGGGCAGGAACAACTCTGCCTTCCAACACTGGTCTCAGGTTCTACTCTATATATCCCTTGGGTCAAACTTTGAGGTGGCCTAAACCTTTATAGCTCTTACAGTGTCTGGCGGCTTCTGGTGAGGTCTGCTGTGGTTCCCTTTGGAGGTAGAAGGCATTGGGCTCGTGGCTTTTGCATCCTCTGAAGTTATGTTGCTCCACTTCTCAATCTGAGACCTAGCTTTGCTTTTTTGTTTGGCTTCTTTGCTGCTGGAAACCACGTAGTTGACTTCTTTGCTTAGGAAGCTTTCAGTGACCTGCAGCGAGAGACAGAACAGAGCAGCTCTGAAACCATCCAACAACTCTGAGCTGAAAGAGTCCTGCTAAGCAAGAACTACTGCCTTTAGCTTAATCCCATGCACAGGTAAGGGGCAGCTGAAATTACTCATCTCTCCAAGTAGTTCCTTCTTCCAGTCCTTACTGCTGTCTCACAGAAGGAGAGGAGATCCTACAACATGCAGAGAGCACACACCCTCGAGCTACACTGCAAATAATCACTAGAACCATCAGATTGAGACTTCCACGATGCTGTCTACCATTATCTACTCAAACAAAGGTTTCAGAAAGGAAAGCATTAGGTGAGAAAACAGCCCTGGATGTCATGCATCAGCGTGGAAGAGCTCTGTTCTCAGGAGAACTGGACACATTTGAGCAAAATAAAGTAGAATGTGAACAGCCGGGGCACACAGCTCCACACAGAACAGGACAGCAGGGAACTAGAAAACCAAAATACACAGACAGAGGCCTTTGCACAGAAGCTAGAAGTCTGAGGAAGAGGTAGAAACCCAAAATTTGGGATACAAACAGTAGGCTTACTAGAAACTCAGCAGAAGGCAGACAGCCACGGGGCACTAATGCACAGATATGAAGCCCACAGGCAGACAAGGATCTGAGCAGTCTGAAATGGCAGCTGCTGAACAAGCCCGTTCTGCTGCATTACAGAGTCTCTGTGGATTGAGATCCTGGACCCACCTGTGTGAAGTGCCGCAGGTGACACTGCAGGCTGCCTTGCAACAGTGACTCACATTACGGGAGACAAAGGGGGCTGCGCAAAGCACAGAAGAGAGCAAATCAAGATCTCCCTGTCTAAATAATGCTCTGTTGCCAGCCCTATGTCAAGGCTAAGCTCTGGTCACCACATACAAGTCCAAGGCCATAAGATGCTCTTCATGTGGTCCTGAGCAATGCACAGGGCCTGGGCATTACTGTTGAAAAGCTGGTCTTCAGATGCTGGCCACAGTGCCCTTGAATTCAGTACCTCCACAGAAAGAAGAAGAATAAGAACTCCACTCCTAGTGGAGTTCTTATTCAGTGTTTATATAATGTCTTATGTAGCATCTTATATAGTGTTTCAGAGAAGAGAATTGACCCGGGATGATGCCCAATAAGAAGCTAGAGGGACAGCCAAAGGGCTAAAATTATTTCCAAGTAGTGTGGCAGCTACATAGAGAAATAACTGACCACTGGGAGTAAGCATTTTTCAGACTTGAAGATGCACAGCTAAACAAGAGATGCTACAAGAAGGAGAGTGTCCCCGAGTGTTGATGCCACATCCAGGGGAGGACAGAAAGAAATCAGCAAGTTCAGCATGAAGGAGTGATTAAAGAAAAGGGAAGAAAGCACAAGCCAGCTTCCCCCCGCATCTCTACAGCCAACACACAATCCTGGTGACAGAGGTACAGCAGTGACAAGATCTAAATAAAGATTTTACACCTGTGCATAGCACTGAAGGATTTAAGGAAGCTTTGGGTGCACATGAAAAATCCACCTCAAACAGAGACATTAAACAATCTGAAAACAAATAGTAACGACTATTAGGACCAAACTGCACTTAAGAGTCATAAGGAAACTGAAAGATGAAACAGATGAACAAGCAGCTGGGCACAGCCCCATCCTCAGTTCCAGCTGAAGCGATACTGCTTTTTGAAGGGTCTTGGGAGAGGGTATAAGGAATTGGTGAGCAATATCAGCACCAAGGAAATCTGGAGCAGCCACAAAGAACACCATACGGATCCATCCAAACAACAGCTTCACAGGGGGAAGGGCCCAGATGGCTTTTCTGGAAAAGCCATGAGAAAAGCACACAGACATGTGACAGAAGACTTGGCTGGCGTTACCCTATGTTGAATTCCAGGAAACGTTTGAAAGTCCCACAACTTCCCTAAAAAATTAAGCTTCCACAGGCTGTTGTGAGGGATGAGGGGGAACCAGGCAACCAGTTACCACTGACCAGAAGGTGGTCCCCATGACCAGGCAACCAGTTACCAGTGCCTGGAGGATGCTCCCATCACCATGTAACCAGTTAGCATCTACCAGAAGGCGCTACCCATCACCATACACCCAGTTACCACCACCCGGAAGGTGCTCCCATGGGCAGGCAACCAGTTGCCACCATCCAGAAGATGCCATCAGGACTGGGCAACCAGTTGCCATGGCCCAAGAGGCAGGAGCAAGCAGGCAGCTGTTTTCAAGTAATTTTCGGGCAGTTTTCCTCCCAGCTGGCCACAGGCAGACCAGGGCTGGCCCACGCTGCCCAGCGCCCCAGGAAGGGTCTGGAAAGAGCCGGGAGCGAGGGAATGGAAGCAGCAGGCGGGGTTGGGCAGTGTCCTTCCCCGGCCGTGAGGCGAGGCCCACTGGGGACCGGGGAGGGGAGCCGGGCGGTGCATCACGATATCAAATCAACACGGGGAACAACCAAGAAAATAAGGAAAGCATGAAAAAAAGAGCAGACAGAGAAGCGGAGCGAGAAGAGAGGCTGGGCAGCCTCAGCCCCCGGTCACCCCCGG